ACCTCCCCCGTTACCCGCGAGGCCGTCGCGACCCCGCGGTCTGCAGGCGGAGGGCCGCGGAAGCGCGGGCGGGGGAGCTGGAGCGGGAGTAGTCAGGAGGTCTAAACTTCGCCAAAGGGCACCGCCAAAGGGCTCCGCCAAAGGGCTCCGCCAAAGGGCTCCGCCACAGGGCTCCGCCAAAGGGCTCCGCCAAAGGGCTCCGCCAAAGGGCTCCGCCACAGGGCTCCGCCCAAGGGCTCCGCCAGGATCTGAGGGCTCGGATGACTCTGAGAGCTCCACGGGCTGTGCGGGAATTCCAGTGTTGAGAAATTCAGCGAGGATTCGGCAGCCGTGGGCGCCAGCAGCGGGGGACGGAGATCATGGGCTCAAAGACCCCGACCGGCCGGGGGGCAGGAGGCGCAGGAGGCGCAGAAGGCACAGGGGGCGCAGGAGGCGCCGGCCGTGGCGCAGGCGGCGAGGCCAAGTTCTGCCCTCGACCCCCGAGGGTCGAGAGGGGGAGGTCCTCGGACGTGTTTGGCCGACCCTCGGGGGCCTCCAGGGACCTCCGGGGGCCAGCATCCAGGGCGGGAGCGAGACCTGCGAGGAAGAGGCGGCGGCGTCGCCGAGCGGCAGTCGTCGGCCGCTGGTCGGCGAGCGAAGATCGGGAGACTCTTTATGGGGGGGGATCCCATGGGGGGAGAGGATCCCAGGGGGGGGATCCCATAGGATCCCCTGGGGATCCCATGGGGGGGCAGGAGGGGATCCCATGGGGGGGATCCCCTCCTGCCCCCCATGGGATCCCCCCCCATGGAGAGTCTCCCGAGAAGATCGTCCTTGCGCACCCCGGTAGCGCCTGCGCGTGTGGGGGCTGTTCAGCTTCTGCGCCTGCGCCTGCGCGGGGTGCGGGCCGAGCGCCGAGCGCAGGACCCCTCGTACGTAGTCATCGTCCTCGACCTCGTCCTCCTCCTCCTCCTCCTCCTCCTCCTCCTCCTCCTCCTCCTCCTCCTCCTCCTCCTCCTTCCTCCCTCCCCTCCTCCTCCTCCTCTCCTCCTCTCCTCCTCCTCCTCCTCCCTCCTCCTCCTCGTCCTCCCTCCTCCTCCTCTCCTCCTCCTCCTCATCCTCCTCCTCCTCCTCCTCTGCTCCTCCACAGCCTCTTCCATCCCTTGTCCGTATGAATAACTCAGCCTTGCCGCACCCCCTGACACGCCGGAAGGGCGGGCTGGGCGTTTCGCATGAGAGTTCCTCACGATGTATGATCCCGCAGCTTAGAACTCGCAACAGCATCAAGGATGGAGGACGGGTGATTGTCAAAATGTGATTCTCGCCTCAGCGCCGCGCACAGTCTTCTGAACAGAATGCTGCAGCTTCAAGGATGGCTCCCGCCTTCGCGCCGAGCGCAGTCGTCTGACAAATTAACAACAGCTTCAAAGATGGAGAACGGCTCCTTTTCAAAATGTGGCTCTCGCCTTGCAGCAGCTTCAAGTATTCGCATGGTTCAAGTCAATGATTCAAGCCTTGCCTTTCGCGTGGTTCTCGCCTTGCAGCAGCTTCAAGTATTCTACGACCTAGGATCGCCATGACGCGACAGTCATGTTGATTCGCGGCGTGGGAAGCTCAGGAGTGGTGATCAGGCGCGATGTACGATTGTCATGACGCAACAATCACTTTGGTTCGCGGCGTGGCAGTCCCAGGAGTTTGGGATTATCAGACGTCTGTCTTCAAATAAGGCTAATTTCCAGCAGCGAGAGTATACCCGTAGTGATCTACGAAGAACAACTTGGAAGGATAATCAACTGAAAAGTCGTTCGAGCGTTTTGGGTTTATACTGGTTCTCCTCCTCCTCCTCCTCCTCTTCCTCCTCCTCTTCTCCTTCGGATCCTTCCTTCCCCCTCAGAAGAATTCCTAACTCTCACGCCCTCCTCCTCCTCGTCCTCCTCTTCCTCCGTCTCCTCCTCCTCCCCCGCATCATCATCATCATCATCACCATCATCATCAGCATCATCATCAGCATCAGCAGCAGCATCAGCAGCATCATCAGCATCATCATATCATTATCATCATCAACATCATCGGCATCATCAGGATAGTCATAATCAGCATCATCATCATAAACAGCATCATCAGCAGCAGCATCAGCATAATCATCATCAGCAGTAGCAGTATCATCATCAGCATCGTCATCATAATAAGCATCAGCATCCTCATCATCATCATCATTAGAATCAGCATCAGCATCATCAGCAGCAGCATCATCAGCATCATCATCATCATCAACATCATCACCGTCACCACCACCACCACTAGCATCATCAGCAGCATCAGCATCATCAGCATCAGCAGCAGCATCAGACTTATCATCAGCCGCCCCTTGTCTATATGTAGATATAAAATCCTGCCTGAGGCAACCGCGACCGAATCGGTAGAGCGGGCCAGGCGTTTCGCCTGAGACTTGATCACCAGTTACGACCGTGTAGCTTGAAATTTGCAACAGCTTCACGGATGAAGGGGGGCGTTTGGTAAACGTGGCCGCCGCGCACATTCGTTCACAGATGAAGGGAGCGTTTTCGACATGTGGTTATCGCCTCAGCACCGCGCACTCTCGTGTTAAAAACGTGCAACTGTTTCAAGGATGGAGGGCGAGTCTTTTCGAAAATTGTGTGCTCGCCTAAGCGCCGCGCGCATTCGTCTTACATGATTGCAACAGTTCCACGAACAGAGGCTGGTTCATGAATGTCGTTCTCGCCTCAACGCCGCGCACACTCGTTGCAAATTGTGCAACCGTCTCACTGGTGGAGGGGTGGGCGTCCTCAAAATGTGGCTCTCGCATTAGCGCCGCGTGCATTTCTTAAACAAATGCGGCATTTTAAATATGAAGGGGGGTCGTTTTCAAAATTGATCTCGCCTTAGCGCCGCGCACAATCGCCTTCAAAGTTGCAGCAATTTCGGGAATGGAAGAAGAGCCGTTTTCAAAATGGTGCTCTCGCCGCAGCGCCGCGCACATTCGTTCGCACTATCGGAGATCTTCTGACCCGGGTCAATCCAGACCCGGGTCAGTCAGGCCTTGCAAAATCCTGCAAGATCCTGCACCCAAACCCGGGTCAATGCGAAGGATCCTGCAAAATCCTGCAGGATCCTGCACCCAAACCCGGGTCAGTGCGACCCTGGCCTTGCAGGATCCTGCAAGATCGGGCGCTCTGGCTGACTCCCGTTTGCAGTGACCCCCGTCTAGAGGCTCCCGACACTAGCTTCACGGATGGAGACCGGTTCCTTTTCAGATGGGGCTCGCGACTTGCCGCCACGAGCATTCGTCTCAAAATCTTGCATCTGCTTCAAGGATGTAGCACTGGTCGTTATCAAAACGGGGTTCACGCCTCCGTCTTCTCTAATGCAACGTTTGGCAGGAAGATGGACTGATTTTCCAAAATTGAACGCTCGCTTGAGACTTCGCTGAAGACCCGAAACAGGAGCGCATGTAATGCTGCACGGGTACGAAGCTCTTTCTCAACATGAAGCTGCCGCTTGAGAACTCCTCGAACCAGGCGGGCAAACTTCAACAGCTTCGCGGATCAGGGGGGTCCCTCTTCGGAAGGTGGATATCGCTGGACACCTGGCTGAGCTGCATGATCCGTGTTCTGCGCGTTCAGGATTACCCATCAGTTGGAAGAAGTAGGTAGAAACATAAGTAGGAATGAGGGGCTCTTGCAGCATCGATGATGCATCGTTTGGTTGACTCTGGACCTCCTCCTCCTCCTCCTCCTCCTCCTCCTCCTCCTCCTCCTCCTCCTCCTCCTCCTCCTCCTCCTCTTGCTCGCCCCCCCCTGATATTCTGCACATCCTCCTCCTCCGCCCCCTCTTGCTCCTCGTCCTCTTGCTCTTCTCTCCAGTCCTCCTCGTTAGCCTCGTCGGCCTCCCCGCTGAACTTCCTGCAACCGATCATACTCTTACGGCACAATCCGCATCCCCGTCTTGCGTCTCCTCCTCCCTCTTCCTCCTCCTCCACCTCCTCCTTCTCCTCCTCCTACACCTCCTTCTCTTCCTTATCCTCCTCCTCCTCCTATCGTTCTCCTCATTGTGGACCTCCTCCTCCTCCACCTTCTCCTCATCCTCCCCTTCGGCCTTATCCGCTTCCGCCCACTCCTCACCTACCTCGTCCGACTCTCCCTGCTGCGCTATTGCAATCCTCACGAATCCCCCTGGTATAACTGATTTGTCGGAGCACCAGGAGGCTGCAGAGAGGATGAACACCATAATCTACATCAGCACCTTCATCATTATCAACAGCATTGTCATCAGCAGCATCATCATAATGAGCATCATCACCACCACCATCATCACCATCGTCAGCAACATCATCATCATCATCATCATCATCATCATCATCATCATCATCATCATCATCATCATCATCATCATCATCATCATCATCATCAGCGTAAGCATCATCATCATCATCGTCGTCGTCATCATCATCATCATCATAATCATCATAATCATCATCATCATCATCATCATCATCATCATCATCATCATCATCATCATCATCATAATCAACATAATCATTCTCATCGACACCGTCACCCTCATCAGCATCATCTTTGAAATCACCATCAGCAGCATCACCATCATCAACATCATCATCATCATCAGCATCAGCATCGTCATCAGCATCAGCATCATCATCATCATCATCATCATCATCATCATCACCATCATCATCATCATTAGAATCATCAGCAGTGTCATCGACATCGTCATCCTCATCAGCATCATCATTGTCGTCACCATCAGCAGCAGCATCATCATCAGCATCAGCAGCATCATCATCATCGCATCATCATCATCATCAGCAGCATCATCATCATCAGCATCATCATCAGCATCAGCATCATCATCATCATCAGCATCATCATCATCATCATCATCATCATCATCATCATCATCATCATCATCATCATCATCATCATCATCATCATCATCATCATCATCATCATCATTATCAGCATCGCTACCCCCACCCGCGCCTCGACGGCCTCGGCGCGGCTGCCGAAGGCCTGGGCGCAGCAGTACAGAGGAGAGGCCCGCGCGGCCCACCCCGCCACGGAGCGGTCAGAAAAAGCTGATGTTGATGCTGATGATGATGGTGGTGCTGATGATCCTGATGACGATGATGATGGTGATGATGATGATGATGTTGTTGCTGCTGATGATGATGGTGGTGTTGGTACAATTGGGTTCGATGAGAGAGGACCACCCGAGAGGACACGAGACCCTTCCGAGGGCCACGTTGCCACAGTAAGGTAAGAAGGCATGGGTGCCAAAGCACAGGACGCAAGGGTACCCTTGGTTTGGCAGGGTAGACCAGGCTCGACCGACTAATCAGCCTCGACTCAAGAAGACGACGGCGGTGGTGATGATGATGATGATGATGATGATGATGAGGATGATGATGCTGATGAGGATGAGGATGAGGATGATGCTGATGATGATGATGACGATGATGACGATGATGACGATGACGATGACGATGACGATGATGATGATGATGATGATGATGATGATGATGATGAGGAGGAGGAGGAGGAGGAGGAGGAGGAGGAGGAGGAGGACGGCGAGGAGGGAGGGGGATCTGAGCGGAAACGCGGGGCGCTGCTGACTCAAGAAGAGGACCCAACACCGCAGGATGGTCAAAGACACGGTGGCCCAGGCAAGCCGCCAAGAGGCTCCCCGATCGAAAGGTTCGCCAAAAACATTTCAATCACGGCCGCCTCCTGGGCCTGCTCGGGCAGCTCCCGACCTTCGGTTTGACAGCTGCCCCCCCTCCTGGTCGTGCTCCCGCACCTCACCTGCGCCTGGACATACGTGCTCAATGGACTGGCTGGGATGCGCGAAACGTCAAGAATTTCGGCTGCACAGGGGGGGTCCCTGCAAGGCTGAGCGAGGTCTCATCCCGAAGCACTTTGTCTTACCCATACGACCACCTTTCGGGTGATAAGGAGGTTGTGGGGGGGGGAGGAGGGGGGGGGAACCAACATCTGACTCAATCGATCTCAGTATCGCTCTCACTCAATGGGACACCACGGGACACCACGGGACTCCACGGGACACGTGTCGACCTCACTATCGATCTCACTATCGATCTCACTCAACGGGACACCACGGGACACCACGGGCCACCACAGGACACCACGGGACACCGCGGAACACCAATCCATCTCACTATCGGTCTCACAATCGGTCTCACTATCGATCTCACTCAACGGGACACCACAGGACAGACACCACGGGACACCACGGGACACCGCGGAACACCAATCCATCTCACTATGGGTCTCACTACCGATCTCACTATCGATCTCACTCAACGGGACACCACGGGACACCACGGGACACCACGGGACACCTGTCGATCTCACGATCGATCTCACCATCGATCTCACTTATTGGGACACCACAAGACACCACGGGACACGTCGGGGCGCCACATCGATCTCACTATCGGTCTCACAGTCAATCTCAATATCGATCTCACTCAACGGGACACCACGGGACACCTGTCGATATCACCATCGATCTCACTATCGATGTCACTCAACGGGACACCCCGGGACACCTCGGGGCACCACATCGATCTCAGTATCGATCTCACTATCGATCGCACTATCGATCTCACTCAACGGGACACCACGGGACACCACGGGACACCACGGGACACCACGGGACACCACGGGACACCGCGGGACACCGCGAGCCACCGCCGGACGGACGGACGGACGGGCGGGCGGGGGAGAATCATTTGTCTCGACTTCGCCCTAGCAACGGCGGACACCACGACACACCACGGGTTACCACGGGACACCGCGGGACACCGCGAGCCACCGCCAGGCGGGCGGAAGAGGAAGAATCATGTGTCTTGACTTCGCCCTCACAACGGCGGACACCACGGGACACCACGGGACACCACGGGACACCACGGGACACCGCGGGCCACCGCCGGACGGGCGCGAGGGGGAGAACCATTTGTCTCGATTTTGCCCTAGCAACGGCGGACACCACGGGACACCACGGGACACCACGGGACACCTCTGCACACCGCGGGCCACCGCCGGACGGGCGGGAGGGGGAAAATCATTTGTCTTGATTTCGCCCAAGCATCGGCGGGTTCATTCCTCTCGCGCGCCCACGCAGCTTCGCCTCGCCCGCACGCACGACACGGACGAATCGAAACGATTTCCCGGTTTGGGTCTCCGTTCCAACCTCCGCCTATTGACTCGCCATCGTTGCATCCTATCCCGAAGCAACTTTTTCCTCCTCCTCCTCCTCTTCCTCCATTCCTTCTCCTTGTGAATAACTCCTCCCTGTCGCACCCCGAGGCCAAGTTTTTAGGGCGGGCTGGACGTTTCGCCTGAGACTTCACCACTTATGACCCTGAAGCGTAAACATTGGCAACAGATTCACAGATGGAGGGCGGGTCGTTTTCAAAATGTGGCTCTCGCCTTAGCGCCGCGCATACTCGTTGTAAAAACGTGCCAGGGTTTCACGGATTGAGAGCGGGTGTGTTTCAAAATGTGGCCCTGGCCCTAACGCCGCGCACATGCGTTTAAAACAAATTGCAAGGGCTTCACGGAATGAGGGCGGTTCGTTTTCCAAACGTTGCTCTCGCCGTAGCGCCGCGCTCATTCGAAGGCGGGTGGTTTTCAAAATGTGGCTCTCGCATTAGTGCCGCGCACATTCGTCTTAAAAAATTCAAGAACTTCACGGATTGAGGACTGGTCTTTTTCAAAATGTGGCCCTGGCCCTAGCGCCTCGCACATTCGTTCTAAAAATTTGCAAGGGTTTCACGGATTGAAGGCGGGTGGTTTTCACAATGTGGCTCTCGCCTTAACGCCGCGCGCATTCTCGATACAAAATTGCAAGAGTTCCACGGATTCCCATGGTCGACGTACCAGAAATAGTGTTTTGGAAGGATTCACGATTTTGAAGGCGCAACAGTTACGATGACTCGCGGAGTTGAGGTCCCAGGAATGGCGTTCTGGCACGATTCCGCATCGTCAAGACGCAACACTCAGGTTCATCCGTGGCGTTGGAATACCGATAATAATGTTCTGGCATGTTTGAAGAGTTTCAAAAGTTGTCTTCCAACGAGGCAAGTCCCTCTGTAGAAATGAACCGTTGTAGGGGCATATGAAGAGGGATTGGGGGGAGGGTTTGTTCCAACATCGTTGGTGTCTTTTGGATTTGCACTGGTCCTGCCCCTGCGCCTCCTCCTCTTCCTCCCCCCTGCTTCTTCCTCCTCCTCCATTCCTTCTCCTTCCTACTGAATTCTCCCTGTCGCACCCCGAGGCCAATTTTTAGGGCGGGCTGGGCGTTTCGCCTGAGACTTCCCCACCACTTATGACACTGAAGCGTAAACATTGGCAACAGATTCACAGATGGAAGGCGGGTCGTTTTCAAAATGTGGCTCTCGCCTTAGCGCCGCGCATACTCTTTGTAAAAATGTGCCAGGGTTTCACGGGTTGAGGGCGGGTGTTTTTCAAAATGTGGCTCTCGCCACAGCGCCGCGCAATTTCGTTTTTTTACAAGAGCTTCACGGATTGACAGCGGGTGGTTTTCAAAATGTTGCTCTCGCCGTAGCGCCGCGCTTATTCGTTTAGAATGTGCAAGAACTTCACGGATTTAGGGCGGGTGGTTTTCAAAATGTGACTCTCGCATTAATGCCGCGCACATTCGTTCTAAACATTTCCGAGGGCTTCACGGAATGAGGGCACATTCGTTTAAAACAGTTATGGACTGAACGCCGCGCTAATCCGTTTTAACAAGTTACAAGAGCTTCACGGATTGACAGCGGGTGGTTTTCAAAATGTGGCCCTGGCCCTAACGCCGCGCACATTCGTTTAAAACAAATTGCAAGGGTTTCACGGATTGAGGGCGGATCGTTTTCTAAATGTGGCTCTCGCTTAGCGCCTCGCACATTCGTTCTAAAAATTTGCAAGAGCTTCACGGATTGAGGGCGGTTCCGATTCAAAAATGTGGCTCGCGCTTAGCGACGAGCACATTCGTTTTCAAACTTTGCAAGAGTTTCACGGTTTCCCATGATCAGCGTACCACAGAATTTGCGTTTTGGCAGGATTCAGGATTATGCGGGTGCCACAGTTCAAGTGCTTCGCTGTGTTGAATGAAATCCCAAACATATCGCTCTGGCACGATTCCGGATCGTCAAAGCGCAGACGTCAAGTTGATACGTGGCGTTGAAATTCCGAGAACAATGTTTTAGCATGCTTCAGGATCTTCAACCGGTTGTCTTCCAACGAGGCAGTTCCCTCAATGGAAATGAACCGTTGTAGGGGCCTATGAACAGGGAGCTTGGAGGGAGGGTGAATCCCAACATCGTTGATGATTTTTGGGTTTGCACTGGTCCTCCTCCTCCTCTTCCTCCTCCGCCCTCCTCCTCCGCCTCCTCCCTCCTCCTCCTCCTCCCTTCTCCTCCCCTCCTCCCTCCTCCTCCTCCTCCTCCGCCCTCCTCCTCCTCGTCCTCCTCCTCCTCCTCCGCCTCCTCCGCCTCCTCCTCCCTCCTCCTCCTCCCTCCTCCTCCTCCTCCTCTCCTCCTTCCTCCCTCTCCTCCGCCCTCCTCCTCCTCCTCCTCCCGCCTCCTCCTCCTCCTCCTCCTCCTCCTCCTCTCCTCCTCCGCCCTCCTCCTCCTCCTCCTCCTCTCCTCCTCCTCCTCCTCCTCCTCCCCTCCCCCTCCTCCTCCTCCTCCTCCTCCTCCTCCTCCTCCTCCTCCTCCTCCTCCTCCTCCTCCTCCTCCTCCTCCTCCTCCTCCTCCTCCTCCTCCTCCTCCTCCTCCTCCTCCTCCTCCTCCTCCTCCTCCTCCTCCTCCTCCTCCTCCTCCTCCTCCTCCTCCTCCTCCTCCTCCTCCTCCTCCTCCTCCTCCTCCTCCTCCTCCTCCCTCCTCCTCCTCCTCCTCCTCCTCCTCCTCCTCCTCCTCCTCCTCCTCCTCCCTCCTCCTCCTCCTCCTCTCCTCCTCCTCCTCCTCCTCCTCCTCCTCCTCCTCTCCTCACCTCTCCTCCTCCTCCTCCTCCTCCTCCTCCTCCTCCTCCTCCTCCTCCTCCTCCTCCTCCTCCTCCTCCTCCTCCTCCCTCCTCCTCCTCCTCCTCCTCCTCCTCCTCCTCCTCCTCCTCCTCCTCCTCCTCCTCCTCCTCCTCCTCCTCCTCCTCCTCCTCCTCCTCCTCCTCCTCCTCCTCCACCTCCTCCTCCTCCTCTCTCCTCCTCCTCCTCCTCCTCCTCCTCCTCCTCCTCCTCCTCCTCCTCCTCCCTCCTCCTCCATGCTGACACCTGGCCAGAGAGCAACGCAGGCCGCCGCCGCCGCCGCCGTCGCCGCCCTTGCGGCGGCTGCAGCAGGGGCGGAGAGCCCAGGGGCGCACGTCACGAAAGGGGCCCAGAGACACACAGATAGATACACACAAATCCCAGCATTTCACACAGTTCCCCATATTTTCTGGGTTTTCGTGTTCTCCCCCAGTGCCAATATTTTCCCATATCTTTTCTGGGGATCGACGATGAATCGTGTCTGCATCTCTTCCACCTGAGAACCCCATCATTGCAAGTCTGATTTCTGAAACACAGGGTCTGATTCGGAATCTGCAGGCTGCCTGCAGCCGAGCGAACCCAAGCGGGGCTATCCGATACCGCAGCACGGACGGAACCCGTGAGGGTACTGCGGACTTGCGCAGAATTACGCGCAGGGTGCCCTCCGCGAAGCCTGTGGCGAGGGGTGGACTGACGCACGAGGAGCAATGCCGAGCCCAAGCTGTGTCCCGGCAGCGTGGCCGCCGAGGACACGGGCGATCGGAGGCCCTCTGGACGCGTGCAGCGCCAACCCCCCCAGGACTGCGTCACCCCCCTGCTTCGGCCGCCGGTCTGCTGCCGCCCCCCGAGGGGGGAAAACAGTGGGGGATGGGCTCGGGGGGGGGGGGATCGGGCATCTACGGCAGGTTCGCGTCGTGACGACCCTGGCGTTGGTTTCTGACACCGCGTGGATCGTTCAGCCTTGAACGATCTGCGGCTTTTCGATCGCCCGATCGTTCCATAAGGGCCGATTCTGGGCCACTGACGGCATTCAACCTTGAACGCCCGCGGCGGGACGACGCGAACCTACCGTACTGACCCGGGTCAATCCAGACCCAGGCCAGTCAGGCGTTGCAAGATCCTGCAAGATCCTGCAGCATCCTGCAGGATCCCGCACCCGACCCCCAGTCGGTGCAGCCCCGGCCCTGCAGGATCCTGCCAGATCTGGCGCTCTGACGGACCCCCGTTTGCGCTGACCCCCGTCTCTTGAGGCCCGAGGAGGCAGCGCCGAGCTGGAGGCGGCGATGCGCCGCAAGACGAGGGGCGATGGGCCCCCGATGGCGAAGATCCGCACCCCAACCTGCGCGGGCGGGGCCGTCGGGCCCCCCATCTCGGCGATCACCCGGCACTTGGGGGCCGGTGCGCGCCCCCCCTTGAGCCACAGCCACTCCGTTGCCCCCGACTCCTGACCCCCGGCCTTCCGCTCCTTGGCTTTCGGGACGCCGACGCAGCTCGGGCCTCCGGCGGCCGCCCCTGACGCTGCCTGACGCCCCCACAAAGCTCGACATGAAGCGCAGGTGACGGAAACCACCCCGGGCCTCGAAAACGTCCGAAGCAAAACTTCGGGGGCAACAGACCTGAGCCACCCCCCCCTCTGACGCTGCCTCTGACCTAGAAGCCTCCTGGATGGGGCCCGAGCAGATGGGGTCGGAGGATCGCGGACGGACCGTCGCGCCGCATCGCCGATGCACCGTCGATATATCGGCGATGCGGCGCGATCCTCTGAGCTCGCCTGCTCCGACCCCATCCGGGAGACCCGGATTGCCCGTCCCCCCCGGCACGGGCACGGAGGGGGCCCCCCGCCGGCGAGAAGCGCAGGTCCACCACCAGAGGCGGCGCGCCCCCGACGCCCTGGGGCGCCACGCGCAGGCGGACGCTGTCGTCGGTGGCGCGCACGCCCTCGATGCCTGGCGGCGTCGGCGCCGCGGCCGCGGCCGTGGCCGCCGGGAGCGCCGTGCGCGCGGCCGTCCGCGCGGCCGCGGGCGGCAGCGCCGTGGCCGCGGCCGTGGCCGCCGGGGTGGCCGCCCGCGTGGCCGCCAGCGCGGCCGCGGCGGCCGCGGCGGCGGCTGAGGCGGCGACGCGAGGGAGGATGACCACGACGAGCACGAGGGCAACGGCGGCGGCGAGGAGGGCGTCGACGGCCACGAAGACGAGCGAGGATGGCGGGCGAGGACGGAAACTGCGACGGCGAAGGCTGCGACAGCGAGCACGACGACGACAACGGCGGCGACGACGGCAACGGCGACGACAGTGGAGGCGACGATGAAGATTGGGAGGGGAAGGGGACAACGTTGGCGGCGGACATCGGAAAATTCAACCATCATTTGGTACGGGGCGATCTCGGGTGGCCCCACGTCTGCCTGGAGTCCGTCCCGGCTTAACTTCTCGATGGTAGCGTA